CGCATGCCTCTCACAAGCCTACGAGGTCCGCGCTTCTGGTCTCAGGAGCTTAAGGGGTTTAGGAGGAGTTTAGGTATATTCCCCGAGTTGACCGTCTCGGGCGCGTCTGTCGTGGCTGAACAGAAAAGGCTAGTTCAAAGTTCGGATTTTCGCAGGCTTACGCCTACCCTCAGGCTTTGCTGGCTTGGAAGACGACGACGGAACCTCAGGGGCCTTCTTGTCAGCCCGACGTTTTTTGGTCTCAGGCTTCACAGACGTGCAAGACGATGGCACCTCAGGGGCCTCAGCAACGCGCACAGCTTCCTCAACCGCACGCTTCTTGCTCTTCGGCCGCGCTGCCACATCACCAGGGCGTACGGCATTCAGGCGCTCAGGAAGTTTGAAGTCCTCCAGCATAACCGTGCCACGCCTTGCGTGGGTTGCGCGCATGGCAGCTTTCACCATGGTCTCTACGCCCAGAGCCGTGGTAGCCTCCATCAAGGTGTCAATGGCCTCGTTGCTGAACCTGGTCTGCCGATGGGGGGCCAGCTCGGTAACCATCTCCTTGGCAAGCCTGACGAAAGGGATCCTGCGGAACAAGGGGGCTCGCCAGTTTCGCTGGCACCAAGCGATTTCGGCAGCCGCACTTCGAGCCTGTTTAGGGTCTAGGGTTTCGGGTTTAGAGTTTCGGGTTTCGGCTTTAGGGTGTAGGGTTTACCCGACAAAACAGAGCCCAAGCTCACCCGAAACCGTGGCCTGTCCACCAAACGCGCCCGTGGTCTTCACCTCCGCAACCTGGTTCTTCTTGGGGCGTCCACCCTTGCCACCGTTGCCCGTGTACTTCTCGAGGTTGGAGCGGTCCGGGAGAGGCTTGGGCTCGCCGAGAAAGCCGGTCACAATCACGCGTATCATGACCTGGCGCAGGGCAAGCGGGAGCCACATGGCAGGGATCAGGTTGATGAGGTCGCGAAAGGAGCCCTCGTCCTCCTCCTCCTCGTCCTGCTTTGCTCTCGGCATTGCAGCGGGCACCGACTCCAAGTCTAGCTTGCTGCTGGCCGAACTGCGGTTGCAAACTTCTCAACCGACTTCAGGTTTATGGTTTCCTGCCCAGTGCGTTTTCAAGCCCCTAAAAAACGCACAGCGCCGTCATTCGTACACCTGTAAAACAAGAGCCAGCCTTCCCCCCTTTCCCCTCCCTCTCCAGCCCCCCGGATGCGCAAGAATCCGTCCTGTAAGTCCTCGCTCCGAGCCCAGACCAATCTGCAGGCATGGGCCTGGCCAGGCACATCCCAAACCCTCAGCCATAAACCCTAAGCCCCCTAAACCCTAAATAAACCCTAAACCCTAAACCCTAAACCCTAAACCCTAAACCCTAAACCCTAAACCCTAAACCCTAAACCTAAAACCCTAAACCCTAAACCCTAAAAACCCAAAACCCAAAACCCAAAACCCTAAACCCTAAACCCTAAACCCTAAACCCTAAACCCTAAACCCTAAACCCTAAACCCTAAACCCTAAACCCTAAACCCTAAACCCAAACCCCCCAATCAGTCCCTACGGGGTCAGAGGTGCCTAACCCTCCCCCTGCGCCTCCGGTCCCACGGTGCTCGGTGGCCGTTCGACCTCGCGCCCGGGGGAGGGGGGGGGCGAAGGGGGTTTCGAAAGCCTGAACTTACCCCCACTTGGAAGCCCTTTGGACTTAGTAAGTAAGTTCGGGTTTATAGGGGAGTACAGTGGGCTTACTATAATGGGCTTACTCAGTCCTAAGAGCTTCCAAGTGTCTCTAAACCCCTAAATCTAACCCCCAAACCCTTGTCGGCTTGCAGCTGCTTTGTCGCGGACCCGCCAAGCCCTAAGCCCCAAACCGGAAACCCTAAACCCGGGTGTTTGGTTCAGGGGTTTTGAAGGCCCAACCCCCCCCCCCAGCGACACCAGTGCGTTTTGCAGCCCTGCAAAAACGCACAGCCGCAATCTGTGCCCAAGAGGCGGGGGTCTAGGGGTTTAGGGACTACAGTAGAGGACGAAGCCGTAAACCCTAAACACTTAAGAAAGTCTAGGGGATAGGGCCTACAGCCGAGACAGGGCGGTAAACTCTAACCCTAGCACGGCGTATGGTTTAGGGTGCAGGGTTTTTGGTTTCGGGTTAAGAGGCCCAAGCCCCTGAATGAGAGGAGTGCGTTTTGCAGGCCTGCAAAAACGCACAGCCTTTCAATGTGTGCCAAAGGGGGGTCTAGGGTTAGGGAGTACAGTAGAGGACCCGAAGCCCTAAACCCTAAAATCAGGGGGGTCTAGGGTATAGGTCTAGGGTATAGGGCCTCAAAAGATACAGGGCGGGCCACGTACAAGTCCTCCTACACCCTGAGCACGGCCTGCGAACGCGAATCTCGCTGCCGGCAAGGTAGGCATAGCGGGATAGCACAAGTCCAAGTCGTAGAAGGGCCTGGAAGGCTGTGGTTTAGGGTGTAGGGTTTATTTGGTTTCGGGTTTGAAGGCCCAAGCCCCCCCCAGTGACGCGAGTGCGTTTTGCGGCCCTAGGACTGCAGTGGAGGACCCGAAGTCCTAAACCCTAAATATATGAGGGGGTCTAGGGTATAGGTCTAGGGTATAGGGCCTACGGCAGAGACAGGGCGGGCCACCTACAAGTCCTCCTACACCCTGAGCACGGCCTGCGAACGCGAATCTTACAGTGGAGGACCCGAAGCCCGAAACCCTAAACACCAGAAGTTCTAGGGTATAGGTCTGGGGAAAAGGCCTACGCCACAGACAGGGCGGGCCACCCACAAGTCCTCCTACACCCCACGGCCTGCGAATGCGAATCTCGCTGCCGCAGGATAGCATAAGTCGAAGAAGGGCCTGGAAGGCTGTGGGTTAGGGTGTAGGGTTTTTGGTTTCGGGTTTGAAGGCCCAAGCCCAACCCCCCCCCCAGAGACGCGAGTGCGTTTTGCAGCCCTGCAAAAACGCACAATCTGTGCCTAAGGGAGTCTAGGGGTTAGGGAGTACAGCAGCGGACCCCAATTCCTGTATTCTTTTTTGTCGAGCCCAGGCCTGCCGTCCGTAGCGCAGCAGCCCAACTGGGTCCAAGTAGTTCCTGAAGGAGTTGTCACGCGTGTCGGCGTCCTGCCGAGATGAAGTGGGTGCGAACATGGGCCCATGGGTGAGCCGTACCCCGCCTCGGATTCCCAACGGAAAGACTTGCGCTGCGGCCCGCAACAGACGGACCAAGGAACGGAAGAGCCAGAGAGCAAACCTGCGCGTAGTTGTTCCGCCACCGAACCGGCACAATGCCAACTGGAAACTTTGCCCGGCGCACTCAACGTCGATGACGAGCTCCATGCTAGGAGCGCGGCATGTGAAAGTAAGGACAAACAATACATAAAAGTATAGCTTGGGATGTCTGAGCGCATGCAAGTCCATCTAGTTGCGACAGCTGTGCGTTTTCCAGGCCCTCAAAAACGCACAGAGCCCTGATTCGTAAGGTTTCGGGCTTAGGGTTTAGGGTTGTGGAGAATGACCCAGGGTTTCCAGTGAAGGATTGAAGTTTCAAGGCACTGTAAACCCTAAACCCTAAACCCTAAACCCAATCGCCGGGCCAGTCTGGGGCTCCTGCTTGTGAGAGCTGTGCGTTTTCCAGGCCCTCAAAAACGCACAGAGCCCTGATTCGTAAGGTTTCGGGCTTAGGGTTTAGGGTTGTGGAGAATGACCCAGGGTTTCCAGTGAAGGATTGAAGTTTCAAGGCACTGTAAACCCTAAACCCTAAACCCTAAACCCAATCGCCGGGCCAGTCTGGGGCTCCTGCTTGTGAGAGCTGTGCGTTTTCCAGGCCCTCAAAAACGCACAGAGCCCTGATTCGTAAGGTTTGGGGCTTAGGGTTTAGGGTTGTGGAGAATGACCCAGGGTTTCCAGTGAAGGATTGAAGTTTGAAGGCGCTGTAAACCCTTAACCCTAAACCCTAAACCCAATCGCTGGGCCAGTTTGGGGCTCCTGCTTGTGAGAGCTGTGCGTTTTCCAGGCCCTCAAAAACGCACACAGCCCTGATTCGTAAGGTTTCGGGCTTAGGGTTTAGGGTTGTTGAGAATGACCCTTGCTAGGCAAGCTTAGAGATCCCCAACCGAAAGGTTTAGGCTTGCTAGGCATGTCTGGGGCGCACGGGCAACCTCTTTTGGCGGCAACCTCTGCACCAAAGCCGGCCGCGGCCCTGTGCGTTTTGAGCCATACCATAAACGCATGGCAACCCCTCTGTTGCAATGAGGACATTGGCCAAAAGCCCCTGTGCGTTTGCAGCAATACTGAGCGATGGGTACAAGAGAACGTTCGCAGGGAAGGAGTATAGCATTCTGGAAACGCACCAAATCTGCTGGCCCCTTTAAGGCCGCTGAAAAGTCGGCAAGTCGAGCCCCAGGTGAAAAGCAAGAAAGAACTCCAACAAGTAAGCTAGCAAGGCCCGAGAAGCAAGTCTGCAGCTGCATTAGCCACACCCTCCACATCCGGCATCTCCAGCACATTCAATGCAGGCACATCTGGGTTTTCCTCTCCATCTGAGTCGCTGGACTCTTCATCCGCAGTGGTTTCTGAGGAACTGCTGGACGCGGAATCTGAGCCTGCATCAACATAACTCTAAACCCTACACCCTAACCGTATATAAACCCTAAACCCCATACCCGGGGCGTAGACCTGTAAGCCCGCACCTGCATCTACATCGTGGTCCCCGCACTCGGCGCCACCGTCCGCTTCGAGGTTTCTGGCCGGAGCATCCGGGACGTCGGGATCGGGCTCAGGAGGAAGGCCCGCAACACCATCCACATCTTCGACTTTGAGGTCGGCAGTGACACGGAGCTTGGGCGGGATCCAGGACCGGCGGCGCCTCTTGGCAGGCGGCGGCCGATGTGGCGGCAAGTCGCCTGTGCGCGGGCGCACATGTGCACCCAGATTGGCCACGGTGCTGAGCATGCGACGAGACCTGAATGGCCACACAGGTGCGATTTCTCGTCAAAGCCAAAAACCCTAAACCTGAGACAAACCCATCACGTGTGCGTTTTGCGACGGGGCGGAAACGCACAAGACAGCTCAGTGCCCCACAGCATGCTCAGCCTGTTTCGAAGCGGGGTGGTCTGTCGGGAAAGGTGTGCCCACCCATGCTCGGCACTCTGGTTCGTCGGCACGATGCTGTCCAGATGGGTAGCTAGGTCGGCCAAGTATGTACTTTTCGTGCACGTCTGCCACCACTCCGTCATGGACATCTTGCCAACCTGGAACAGCTGGCCCGCAAAGATGCCTGTGTTCGTCTGGAAGTCACGCCACTCCAGCGCAGCACAAGACCGGGCATACGGGTTGTCGGCGTAGAAATGGTCCATGTACGGCAACATTTTGTGTTTGTGCACGTTAAAGAGCTGGGCAACATTCGGCAGCGGAAGGCCGTCAGCTGTCTGGGGATTTCGCCGACGATGCTGCAAAGATTTCACCCGCGTTCTCGGCGACAAGAGGAATGCCACATAGTGAACCTCCTGCAGATAGCCGGGGTCCTGAAAAGGCGACAGGCATTGCAAAGGTGGAAACACAATGGCCTAGGCGCCCTAAACCCGAAACCCTAAAGCCTACACCTTCACGACAGCTGTGCGTTTTCCAGGCCCTCCAAAACGCACAGAACCCTTATTCGACGTCTAAAAGGGGTTCTGGCTGAAGCAGGGTTTCGAGTCAAGGGTAAGAGTCAGAGTTTCAAGGCACCCTAAACCCCAAACCCGAAACCCCTAGGCCTGCGTTTTCCGGGCTCTCAAAAACGCACGAAGCTCTCATTCGTACCTGTTTCCATTGTAAACCCTAAACCCTATAGACCCGAAACCCAAGTGCTATAGGCAAGCTTGGGGCTCCTGGTTGCGACAGCTGCGATGATTTGGAGCTCGTCCGCCATCTCGATAGTACTCCATCCACGCGCGCAAGGAGTCAAGGCGCACAGTCTGGACGTCTTCGCTCTCTCTCACACCCTTGAAGTCATACTTGCGAACGAGAAACTCCAGCTGCAGAGTCATGGTCTCCCAATTCTCCACTGCTTCCGCCATGACTCCGCGGCCGGACCTACGAGTGAACTGCGCAATGGGCTGGAGCAAGACTCCCATTCGCGCAATCTTGTTGCACTGGCCCTTGGCATTCAAGAGGCTGGCGAAGGCTTGGCCCTTGTCGCCTGCAGCAAGGTCTTTGTACTGCAAGGACGGCTGGCCAGCAGTCAAGCAAGCCAGTCGAAACAAGTCCAGATTGTAGGTGAAGGTCATTGCGGTGGAGTACAGAGAGCAGAAACGGGTGCTTCTGGGCGGACGTGGAAAGACCTTGCGCTTCTTGTTGGAAAGCAGCACCTTCTCTTGCAAGTAGCAACGGAGGCGCTTCTTGCGCGCCAGAAAGGTGACAGCAGTCTTGAGCTCCTCCAAAAAACAAGACACCAAGGCAAAATAGGCTCCTTTAAATACAGTTCAGTGCAGTATTGCAAGGCCAAAAAACGCACAAAGGTCTCTGTCAAACATTAACACAATGCAATGCATTTCCAAGGCCCTGAAACACAGAAAGGTCTCCCTGAAAATGTAAACAGTTCAGTCAGTGCGTTTTTCGAAGGCCCTAAAACGCACGAAGGTCTCCCTGATAATGTAATACAATTAGTGCGTTTTTCCAAGGCCCTAAAACGCACAGAGGTCTCCCTGAAACAGACAAGCAAGACCCTGACTGCTGTCCTTCGCACTGGAACGAAGCCATGGAAATATCTTGGGCATTCGCTTAGCCACGACATTGCCAGCGTGCTCCAAGCAGAAAACCCACGCAGTCTTCCTGGCGCCAGGACGCTGCTTGAAAAGCCGCCGAGACTTTCGCATCACACTTGGCCCATCCGTGACAATGGCCGAGACGTGGTCCGCGCCAATTCTCTGGACAGCTTCCGCAGCAAAGCTGGCCATGCGCGGAGCATCTTGCTTGGAGTCCTTGAAGTCCTCTGTCCCAAGATGCAATCTGCCAGCATTGTTGCTGAGCCAAAGATTCACCATGCAGTGTCCCTGTGAGAACTGACCATCGAAAGACAGCGTGCCAGGACCGGCTCGTGCCAATTGCAAACCCTTCTCGGTGCACTCCTCGTAGAAGCTTGCCAAGATCTTGCAAAAGTCCGGGCGACTGATGCCCTGATACCGGCCTGCAGAGATGTAGGAAAGAAGCTGTCGAGTCCGGGGATGCTGCGCGCGACTGAATGCACTGGCAGTCTCCACGATCTCCAACACCTGCAGTTCACGAGCGCGCTGCAAGTCCAGGTCGCCTGGCTTGTCGAGCTCCTGCCTTGCGACTGCCCATTGCTGGAACTCGCAGTAGACCTGCGCCGGCTTAATGCCCTCCATGGCCAGCTTTGCAACTTGATCCTGCGGAAACAACTTTGTGCACGGGGTGCAGCGGTTGGAGCCGTGCAGCTTTCCATTCATTTTCTTCAGACGCTCCTTCACGGCAGCCGTGAAGTCAGCCTCCGTTCGCGCCGGGCGATCAGGGCCAGACTGGAGCCATGCTGCCTCAGGTGCGTTTTGTCAAGGCTCAAAAACGCATGGCATCTAAATCTAGCCACGTGAACCTCCATGCGTTCTAGAGCTCCTGAAAAACGCATGGTATCTATATCTGGCCACGTCAACCTCCATGCGTTCTACAAGCCGTGAAAAACGCACGGCGCTGACATCACGCAAACTAAAACCCAAACCCGGCCTTGCTCATGCCACCCAGTTTGTGGAAGAGCGCGCGGTCGCTTCCTGCTGTGAAGTCGCACCATCCGCAGCCTGCACACATCCACAGATCCCGACTGCCATCGCTGCCAGACTTTGGAATCCGAAGTCTGACCATGCCAGACGCCAGCACTTGATCCACAGGCTTCTGTGGGCTACATGCCAATGTTGGGCTGCTCCCGAACTCATCCAGGAACTTCTGACAGGCTTCAAACTCGCGAAGGGCCCCAAAGAGCGGGTGCTCGCTCAACTTCGGCCCGTCACAGAGCCGCTTGCCATGCCGGGCAGCCATGGTTGCAGCAAACCGACTTGCTACTATTGAAACAGAAAGCTTCGTCTCTAATCATGACCACTTTCTCTCTATGCTGCTTCTGTCGCTGTGTGCGTTTTCTGGGCTTCTGTAAACGCACTGCATTGGGCAAAAACACTTGCGCGACAGCTTGTCACGATATAGCAAAAGCGCGCTTGGCATGTATATGTTAGAAGTGCGCTTGGACGGGGCCCGCGCTTAACTAAGCACGCGCTTAACAACAACTAAGGTTTCAGCTCAGGGCCTGGTTCGGACCAAAAGCGCAAGCATTCGGAGCTTCAGCAGTCAACCACGCCGACAGAACTACTATCTCAATGCAGCCGAGGTGACAATCGTGCAGCCAGCGTACCTGCAGTCAGCGCGCTGTGTTTCGCAGTTTAGGGTTTAGGGTTTTGAGTTTTGGGTTTAGGAGGTGAAGAGTGTGCATAGGAAAGTGTGTTTCCTTCGTAGCATTTTGTTTGGACTTCGGCATATTTTGGGTTTTGAGGATTGGGGGGGGGGGGGGGGGGGGGGGGGGGGGGAATGAGGCTTGGGGTTAGACTCTTTGAGGGTCGAGGACTTTCACAGAGCCCGAAACTATGTACAGCCAGTCCAGCTTGCACCACATCTCTCCTAGGGGCACTGCTGGATCCTCACTTGGCGCTCTTGTAGGGTTTCGGGTTTAGGGTTTAGGGTTTAGCGTTTAGGGTTTAGGGTTTGTTGTCCAGTCGCCCAGGAAAAGCTGTGCCGCGCTGGTGTTGCTTGCAATGGTTTTTGTCTAAGGTCGCCGAACATACAGGGTACAACTGGGCTTCCGTCAACCCTAAACCCTAAACCCTAAACCCTAAACCCTAAACCCTACATCCCAAGCTTGCCTCCTACAGGCGGTTTTAAAGAGTGAAAGGTGGCTTTCAGCCACGACAAGCCCAGTGACGTGCCATCTTCCGAGCTGCAGGCTTCTTAGGGTTTAGGGTTTAGGGTTTAGGGTTTAGGGTTTAGGGTTTAGGGTTTAGGGTTTAGGGTAAGCCTTACTATGGGGACCCCTGATAGACCCCTTATACACCCTGTACGGCCCAAGGGCCCATACTTCAGAGCCCTTTAAAGCAGGTAAGGGGCCATATTAACGGCCCATGACTTACAAAACTCGATGGTGGAGTGCCCCTTCCTTCCAAGGGCTTAGGGCTTTAGGGCTTAGCGACCCGAGCTCCTAAACCCTCAGAGACTTGCATGCCGGGCCGGTAAGTTAACCCTGAAGAGTTTCTTTGGGGAATTTTGGGCTAAAGTTTAGGGCTATCGCTAGGTTCCTCGAAGCATGGGAGAAGGCAGCAAATTCACGTGCCTTTACCACCTTGTGTCCAAGACACCACCCTAAACCCTAAACCCTAAACCCGAAACCCTAAACCCTAAACCCCATACCCTACACGCTAAACCCTAAAACCCTATCACCCCAAAGCCCCGAAAGCCATGTGGCGAAGCTGTCACTGGGCTATGGGCCAACTGCACGGAAAGGCTCACCTCTGCACTGGTTCTGTCTAAGGATGAGGGTTTCGGGCTTTTTGGGCTGAATTCCTAAACCCTAACCCTAAACCCTAAACCCTAAACCCTAAACCCTAAACCCTAAACCCTAAGCCCTAAGCCCTAAACCCTAAACCCTAGCCACCGAAACCCAAAACCTAAAACCCTAACCGCCTAACACACTAATTAAACACCCGCAGCCCTACTGTAAACCCCTACAGGCCCTTAAACCCTACACCGCTAATCCCATAAAACCCTATAAACCCCAGATCCTACGCCTTAAACCCCTAATCCCATAACACCCTAAACCCTAATCCCATAACCCCCTAAACTCCAGATCCTAAGCTTTAAGGTGTGTTCTGAAAAGCCCATTTAGGGTTTTGTTAATGCTTTTTAACTGTAGAGCGCCCTAGAAAAAACCTAAATGGGTCTGTTAATGCTAAAAAAACCCTAAATGCGCTGAAGGGTTAGGTTGAGGGTTCCACGGCCGCTGTTCGTGTCCGTGACTTTAGGGAGAAGTGTGGGAAACATTGGGTCTAGGTTTTAGGATGTAGGGTTTAGGGCTAGGGCTTAGGGTTTAGGGTTCCTCCCTCCTGGAAGGAACTGATAAATGAAGTCTCTCCCTGACGCATGAGCCCTAAGCCCTGAACCCAAAACCCTAGAGCCCCGAGAGCCTAAAGCCCTTAGGGTTCAGGGTTTAGGGCTTAGGGCTTAGGGTTTAGTATTTAGGGTTCCTAAAGCCCCTAAAGCCCTAAAGCCCGAAAACCCTGAGTCCCTAGAGCCCTAAGCGCCCTAAACCCTAAACCCTAAACCCTAAAGCCCCAAGAGCCCTAAAGCCCTGAAACTCCCGAAGTCGATTTCGAATTCTGCCATGTCTGGCTCAGAGCAACTGGTATTTGAACCACGCGGTGGGGCCCCAACACTCCTTGGTTTAGGGTTTAGGGTTTAGGGTTTGGGGTTTAGGGTTTAGGGGTTAGGGGGTTTTAACGTTTGAGCGGTTCAGGGTTTTAGGGGTTTAGGTATGAAGGGTTGAGGTATTCAGTGTTCCCCAAACCCCTAAACCCTCAACCCTAAGGGATTGAGGGGTTTGGGGATGAGGTCGCTTGGGATGAGGTCTAAGGGGTTCAGGGCTTCAGGGTGTACGGGATGAAGGATTTAGATCGCGGGGGCTTAGGGGTTTAGGGTTTAGGGTTTAGGGTTTAGGGTTTAGGGTTTAGGGTTTAGGGTTTAGGGTTTAGGGTTTAGGGTTTAGGGTTTAGGGTTTAGGGTTTAGGGTTTAGGGTTTAGGGTTTAGGGTTTAGGGTTTAGGGTTTAGAGAACTATTTATGGGGGTTCGGAGTTCCGGGTTGCTGCGGTCTTGCAGTTTTGCGGTCTAGGGCTTAGGACTGTAAAGCCCCAAACCCTAAACCCTAAACCCTAAACCCTAAACCCTAAACCCTAAACCCTAAACCCTAAACCCTAAACCCTAAACCCTAAACCCTAAACCCTAAACCCTGTAAGGCTTAGGGTTGTTTAGAAGTGTTCTCTAAGGCTGGATGTAGGTTGCTTATGAGTACAGGGGGCTTGCCTTTCACATAGAGGCCTCTAAAGCCGACTCCTGAACAGTATCCTCACGCGCCTAAACCCTAAACCCTAAACCCCAAACCCTAAACCCTAAACCCCAAACCCTAAACCGGAAACCCTAAACCCTCAACCGTGAACCCAAGAAAGGGGAATGCAGGAACCTCCCACGAGCCGAACCATGTCTTTCTTGGGACTTCAGCGGCGTGTTGGCTTGTGGGGGCGCAGGGGGGGTGTAGGGTTTAGGGTTTAGGGTTCAGGGTTTAGGGTTTAGGGTTTAGGGTTTAGGGCTAGGGTTTTGCAACTTCATTGGTGTAATAGGACTGCGTAAAGCGGTGCTGGACTGAAAACCCTAGACCCCAAACCCTAAACCCCAAATCCTAAACCCAAAACCCCAAACCCTAAACCCTAACCCTGTTATTGACGACTGAAAGCGGTGAATAATTAAGTTGAGGGTTCGTAGCCGAAAAGCCTGCAAAGCTTAAGCACTCAAAGCCCCCATGTAACCCATTAGCATTACAAGAGGGGTCACAACATTCGGGTTGAACCCTAAAGCCCCTAAAAGCTCAGCCCTCAACCCTAAGCCTAAACCCTAAATCCCAAACCTGGAACCCTAAAGCCCAAAAGGCTTTTTGTTTGGGGGGGGGGGGGGGGGGGGGGGGGGTTTTCATGGGTTGGAAACTCTTTCGCTGCATATGGTTGGAAACTCTTTCGCTGCATATGGGGCTTTAGGGGGGGGGGGGGGCTTTTGGGGGCAACTTCCTTCTGGACGCAAGAATCTCATGGGCAGCTTAGAGTTGGGTTTGTGCGTTTAGGGTTTAGGGTTTAGTGTCTAGGGTTTAGGGTTTAGCGTTTAGGGTTGTGGAAACCTCGGAAATAATCGCTTAGGGGTTTAGGGTTTAGGGTTTAGGGTTAAAGGGGTTTGGAAGGGAACCTGAAACCCCCGAAAAAGGGAAATAAGGGTACTGCTGGGCATCCTAGGACGGGTTTAGGGGTTTGGGGCTTTCAGGTTTTGGGTTTGAAACCCCAAACCCTAAACCCTAAACCCTAAAGCCTAAAGCCGAAAGCCTAAAGCCTAAAGCCTACAGCCTAAACCCTAAAGCCTAGAGCCTAAAGCCTAAAGCCTAAACCCTAAACCCTAAAGCCCTAACCCCAAACTTGGGTTTCCACTTCGATATATGTGAGGCCGGAGGACTTCATGGACCAGAACTTCTGGCTACAGGGTTTAGGGGGTCGGGGGTTCAACTTATTAGTTGCTGAGTTCATAAGCACAAAGATGGTGTACACTTTTAATTTTAGTGTTGTAGAAATTTTGGTATCCCAAAAAGGTGTAAGGTGTACTCACTCAGCTATTAAGACTTTAACCCGAGACCCCTAAGCGGTTTGGGTTTGGGGTTGAGGGCTCACCCAGGAACCTTAGAAACCCTAAGCGCCCCAAGGGTTTAGGGTTTAGGGTTTAGGGTTTAGGGGTTTAGGGTTTAGGGTTTAACCTAAACCCTATTGGCAAAGAAGCCGGAGCCTCCAGACTCCCTACCCGGAGCGTCGGCGGACCAAGTAGATCTAGTTAAGATAGCCCCTAAACCCTAAACCCTAAACCCTAAACCCTGAACCCTGAACCCTGAACCCTAGACCCTAAACCACACTCAACCTGAAAGAAGTGCGATGCGAGCCGAGGCGCTGGGAAGAGTTGGCCGGCCTGGAAGCCTGCCTTCAAGTTGGGAGACGACTTAGGGTTTAGGGTTTAGGGTTTAGGGTTTAGGGTTTAGGGTTTAGGGTTTAGGGTTTAGGGTTTAGGGTTTAGGGTTTAGGGTTTAGGGTTTAGGGTTTAGCAGACTTTCGCCCCTCCCCCCCCCTCCAAACATCACAAACAGCAAACAATAGCAAACAGCAGCAAACAGCAACAACAACAAACAGCAGCAAACAGCCAA